ATTTCTATAAACCCCAGATCGGAACTCCAGGCCAACTCCCACCTAGGGTCTTCCTGGGCCACTGATGAGGTGGTAAGCTCCTTATCACCAGAGGTATATATGAGCGGACACCCAGAGTCATGGAGGCTGCTGAGGAATTCATATCGCTTGGGAGTCTCTAGGTAGAGATTAAGGCACTGGCCATGCAACCAGTTACACCCTCTGCCACTTTCACCACCACACACACTTGGGTTTCTGGCCAGCCCTGTTGCCCTCCTGACCAAGCCACAGGCTCTGTCCACCCCAGGTGTCCTGAACTCCGGCACTAGGAACCTGTTCAGCCTTGCTAAACACCAGCACTGCTCCACATCCAGGCCTTCGAACATGTGGCTCCTTTTGCCCGGAACTTCTTCTCTTCACCATGGTAAACTCAGACGCATCTCAGGTTCCCAGCATGGACTGCATCACCTCCTTGGTGTCCTCCCCGCCTCCACCACCAGCTGACTCTGGCTTTCTTCTGGGCTCCCACAGACCCTGTTCTTCCCTTGCACTGACCACACTGGATTGTGAATTACGAGTGCCATGAGGGCAGGGGCCAGGTTGGTCTTGTTCACAGCTGGGTCCCCATTTCCTGCAACAGTCCCTGTCTGTCGAGGATAAACATCTGCTGACCTAGTGATTTAATGAATGAATGACTGATTTGGAGAACGTACCCATCTGGAGCACACAGAGAAAAGAGCTGAGCAGAAGTTCATGCACCACTTGGTGCGAAGCCATCATTCAGAGCCCATTTACTCCTAGTTTACAAACAATCCTGGTAGGAGTAAGCATTTGCTTTCTGCTCCCCAAGCAGGCAAGAAACACGAGGGAAGACTGAGAATGCTGCTTGTCACCTTGTCCAACCGCCAAGGACCCCACCCCTACCCACCCTATGGGCCACCACTGAAGAGCGGAATCAAGCTGAGGGCAGGGTCGAGGGTGCCACCCCCAAGATTTCTGGGTCAAGGGCTGGTTTTAGAAGGAGGAGCCCAGGGTCAAGCACCCCATTTTTCTGGGTCCTCAGTTTCCTCCTCTGTAGACGCCCATTTGGGAGATCACAAGGTGGGATGGCAAAACCCTCAACCCACGGTGGGGCTGCAGTGGGTGCTGGCCCCCTCCCCTGCCATGAGCTGGGGTCCAGGCTGTTCCTCCTACCCTGGCAGGGGCCGGGTATGGCCCCCAGAGCCCATGGCTGCTTCAGTTGGAGCCCCTGACCTTTCTCTGAGAGCTCTGAGGAAACTCACTGAGCTGGACAGGAGACAGTGAAGGACAGGTGAATCTTGGGTTATGTGGGCAGGTGACAGACCCTGAGACATCCCCACAGGTCCCAAGAGGCACCAGCACTCTGTCGGGAAGCTGGAGTCCAGAAAGGGGGCGCACACGCTGGAGGTCACTCGCAGAGCAGGGGCAGTGTCTGTCCTCTGCAGCAGCTGCCATTCTCCGCGGCATTGGCCCCACGCCCCACCACTCTGGCGTCCCTGAGTTTCCAGTATGCGCAGAGGCGGCTGCTGGACTTACAGGGAAGAGGGGCAGGATAGGGGACTCCCCCACCCTCCATACTGTGAATGCCCTATTTGGCCACTGTCGATGCAGGCTCCACTGTCTGAATGAGCAGGCCAAGTGCCAACCTCAGAACTCTGCCCTGGTGGCTGCCTGCCTGTCTGTCTGTCTGTCTCCTTTCTCTTCTCTCTGGCCAGAAAGGGCTGGGCCAGGGCCTGTAGCCACCTCACTCCTACCCTCAGGTGCTCAAGTCCGTTGATGCCACTGGGGCCAGCCTCTGTGCTCCTGCAGACCCTGGAGGGCTTTGCTGGGTGTATATGTCATGGCCGGGATGGTGGTGGAGCGGGATGAAGGGAAAATCTGGAAAGCCTGTGCCTCTTCTCAGGGTCAGACAGGCTGCAGGCCAGTTTGGCCCAGCCACATCTACTCTGCCAACTTCCACCCATGGCTCCCCAGGGTCACAGGCCCCCAGACGCCTTTGTCAGACCTTCAAGGACTCTTCTACCCAGACTTTCCCCAGATCCTGCCTTCCGGACCTGTCCTACTGCACACCATGGGTCCCTGACTCCAGACCTTTCACCCATCTCTCTACACTTCAGGCTCTGACCCATGCAGGATTCTCCTCCCCCCC